ACATTTTTGCAACTTTTCTAATTGATAATCCATTTTCCCTATTAAAAATTACTTGTTTATGTAAGTCAATACTATATTCTTTTCTTTTTCCTTTCATTTTAGTCACGTGGTTAAGAAAAGGTTTATTTTTATTTATTATAGTATTATTTAATATAAAAGTACAAGATATTAATATAAAAATCATTTATAAACAAAATTTTACCTTTTCAATCAAATGTACGGACAATTTTTTGGTTTTAAAATTTTTAAAACTTTTAAATAAGTTAAATATAATTTAAATTGTCGGGAGAAAATTAAAGATAGTGTATCGTTTTTATTTGTTTTCTTGTGCACTATCTATTGGTTTTATTTTTTTTTTCTATCATAAAGTTTATTTTTTTCTATCTTAAAGTTTTAGAGCTTTTTTTAAAAAACCTTATTTTTCATTAATGTACAGACAATTATTTTGCCCACTGTATATACATACATATATATGTATATATATATATATATATATATATATATATATATATATATATATATATATATATATATATATATATATATATATATATATATATATATATATATATATATATATACACACACACTTAAGCATATACAAGTAGAAAAATAGTAAAAATATTTTTAGGTGTTGCATGATCTAATTAGAATTAAATAAAGGACTACTAAAAACTTTATCCTCAGGGTAACAATACATGCCCCATGATGATTCGAAGACCCTGAAAAAATAAATTGACCATTATTTTTAATTCAGTAATGTGCAAAAAAAGTCTTACAAAAAAAAAATTAAAGTATTAAAAGACCAAAAGAAAAAATCAATAAAAAAAATCAATAAAAAAAAAAATAAAAACTAAAATATAAAAGCAAACAAGCTTATTATATATTTTTTTGGTAATACCTAGGGTATTGTTTCTATTTGTAACCCTTTCTTAAACTAAAATATTAAGTAATATGATACAACAACAACAACAACACAAATCTGGATAACATCATTCAAAATAATTTTTTTTTAACTTCTGTTTCAAAGAAAATTGTGATTATATATTATATGATTTAAGATGTAAAAATGATTTTATATGTGATGCAATCTATTTTATGTTATAATCTATGTAATAAGTGAACAGCTCTTAGTATTATTTATAAAAGCTTACCAAGACGTAATGATAATTTATCTTTTTTAGTCAAATCTGCCAAGTATGCAGTTCCTGACATAACTAACCCTGGATAGGATCCTCCAAGTCCATCAAAAAAGGCACCTATGTAAATAAACTTTATATTGAGTTCCAACCACACTGTTATTGAAGATATAATTAGATAGATAGTTGACATAGCTGTAGTCACCACCATTATTGGTTTTCTACCAACAATATCAGATAGAGATCCATAGAAAAGCAATGTTATGATGCATGGAATGTTTTGACATAACGCTAAACCAGCATAAAATCTTGATACTTTGCTTTGAACCTAAGATTGATACTAAAATATATAAATTAAAAAATTATTTCTCAATCAAAGATTAATATTAAACAATATTAAATATTAATACAATTAACACATAAAAATTAAATAAACTCTATAATAAAAAGGAAAATCCAAAAAACTTTAAAGGGATCCCAAACCTCTGAGACATATTGTGTTCATATTAAAGAGAATGATAAAAAAAAATGTTTGGGCTAAATTTTTCTTGATTAAAACAAAAGAATAATTGCATACTAAAAAAAAACTAGTTTTTTTATTTTAGTCGAAGCTCAGCTTCTCCGTTTTGTTGTAGGCCTAAAAGTCAGCATAATATATATAATATGCTGCAATCTACAGACTTAATAATTTAATCAAGCGCGTTTAATTCCTAAATATTTGCAGTACATGGTGTCATTGATTTTTTTTGTTTGCGTAAAAGATCGATTATGTAAACAAACAAAAAAGTTGATGAAATCATGTACTAAAACTCTAAGGAATAAAATGCCCTTAAGTAAATTATTATTATGATGACTTTTAGGCCTACAACAAAACGTAGAAGCGGAACTTCGACCAAAATAAAAAAGTTACTACCAAAATAAAAAAGTACTACAAAGGACTTTTGTGAAAAAGTTAACTAAAAAATATGTTGAATGTACCAAATAAATCTTTTAACAAAAACTTATTTATTGCAATAAATAAAACTTTAGACTTGTAAAAGAAATTATAAAAATAGACATTAGACGTTTCACATTTGTAGCCTCTTAACTGAGACTCAGATCATTCTTGGTGCAGACAAGATAAATTTTTATTTAAAAACTTACATTCTTTTCCAAAGCCATTTCTGAACTGTTATATTTGCCAGTATGGCAGGAGTTTGATTGGGTATCATAATGATATTCAAGACCATACTCTTTGCTATACCAACTATAAATATACTGCTGAATAACAGGCATTTGAAGTAGAAGTCCAGTATAGTAAAAAATGAACATGGGTTCAATAATATATCTTAATTGTTTCATTATTGTTCAGCTATAAAATTTGTAAAAACAAAGTATGAAACAATTTAATAAACATGTTAATTTTTATTTTACTTGATAAGTGTGCGTGTTAATAAAAATATCTGTCCTTGCATAAAATGACATAATACTGAATAACCATCTGTTTGACCTTCATAAATTTGTTGAAAGTTTGAGTTTAGGCAGGTACAATCTAGAAATAAAAGACTTTTATTAGAGCAAAAAAATTTTTTTTTTTTTTGCATTTCTCTCATTCTTTTTTTTTTCTTCTTAAAGTATGCAAAATACATAAGAACAATGTTCACCAAATGCTGCTAAGGTGTTTATGTGTGTATGTATGTATGTATGTATGTATGTATGCATGTATATGTATATATATAAATTATGTATATATATATATATATATATATATATATATATATATATATATATATATTATATATATATATATATATATATATATATATATGTATGTATATATATATATATATATATATATATATATATATATATATATATATATATATATATATATATATATATATATATATATATATATATATATATATAGTTTTTTACAATTATATATATATATATATATATATATATATATATATATATATATATATATATATATATATATATATATATATATATATATATATATATATATATATATATATATATATATACATATATATATATATATATATATATAATTGTATATATATATATAATTGTATATATATATATATATATATATATATATATATATATATATATATATATATATATATATATATACAATTATATATAAATATGTAGTCAAGTTTACCATAATAATCACACTAAATGTTTGAACAAATTTACTAAAAAAAAAACTTTATACATAAAATGATCCAACTCCTATGCTACATTTAACAAACATAAAATACTAGATTAGGAAAAGTTAAGCAATATCTAAGTCCTTTAAAACACATAGATTATTTAAACTGAACTTTTCTAGTACTTCTAATAATTTATTTTTAAACTGAGTATTAGATCCCCTCCATTAAACAGCAACAATATTAAATCACCAATAGCAACAATAAATCACTAATTGCAACAAACTAGTTGAAATATATATTATTTCATTTAAGGATATTGAAAAATTGATGTAAAAGCTTAACAAAGAAACCACCTAAAAAAAATCAGCATTCAAAATGCTATTATTAATATTTAAAAATATTTTTACATTACTAGACTAAACTGATTACAGATACAGTGTAAAAATTGGACTGGAACAACTTTCAGGTTGCATTGCATTTTTAAAAATAAATTCATAAATAAAAATGAGTCATATTAGATCACCTGATTGGTATAACCATAGTTAAAAAAAAATTCATAGCTTTTGAGAACATTTCAACATTTGGGGATCAAATCTCTAGTCTTATTTTTTATATCAGTTTTTTCTAAGCAGTTTTTTCTTAGCTCAAGTCAATTTTTTAAATTTCGTTTTTCCTTGGCTGGATAAAAAGAACATTTTTGTGTTTATTTGCTTGTCATTTATTTAACTAAGTTTTAAAAAACTTTTTACTTGTGTGATTTAATTTTAGTTCTAAAGAGGGTTTCAATACTTTATCTATTTATAAAAAGTTCCTAATCTTTGTTAAACATATCTCATAGAAAAAGAAAAAGAAAAAAAAGTCAAAAATATATATTAATGTTTTCAGTGTTTACAACTTATAATATTATTACACAATATTACAATATTATTACACAATAATTCACAACTACTTGGTAGATGTCTTAACTTATCTACCAAGTAATTGTGATAATGATAAACTAAGTAATTCAAGGTAAATATTATACCTAATAACTATGTTCTATTTCAGTACATTGCTTTAAACAATTTATGATAATGCTTATAAAATTCATTCAAGAGTTGCCAAAAGCAAAAAAATAAAGGCCTTTTAAATAACAAAAGAAAAAAAAAACACAAAGAAAACAAGGTCTTCTGAAAAAAAAAAAAAAAGCAAGGTCATTCAAAACTTTATATTACACTATTAACTATTATAATTCATTACACTAGCAACATCATAACATTACACTATCAACATCATAACATTACACTAGCAACATCATAATAGCAACATAACATTACACTGGCATTATTATAACATTACACTAGCATTATCATAACATTAAACTGCACCCTCATACTATACACTAGTACCATCATAACATTATACTGCATTAGTATAAGTGTCCAAAATAAGTAAAATATCAAACCTATATTCACTTTAATTTGTGTTATTTATAGCAATTTAAATGTAATTTACTCGTAATGTATTCTAAATCAACTTTTTTTTTTTACATTTGCCAATAAAAAATAAATTATAAATATATAAATGTTTTAATTAACCAGCAAATAAAAAATTTAAAAAAACTGGAATTTACTTAAAAGTCAATATTAAGTAAATTATTTTAACTATGTTTGCAAATTGAATTGCAAAATGTTTTGGAAAATCCACAGCATACTCATCAAATCAAGATTAACCGAAATGAAATTCATCCATTACATTATTCATCAATTAGAATTACTATAAATGAAAAATAATTCATTTTTATTCATTTATAATTAAATTTTGATTTGTATTGATAACTTAATTCAACAACCAATTGAAATTGCTGCATCATAAAAACTTCAGTTTCTAGTAGAACGACTTCGGTGTGTTTTCGATTGCTTCACTTAACATTGTATTAACAACATTTTCTTTTCTGTTTCCTCCTTTTTTCGACGTCTATGTTCATTAAAATACAATCTATCAGTTTATATATAAAAAATGTTAATATTATAGTTTATATATAAAAAATGATAAATTACAAAAAAAAAACTAAAAAAGTGTACAGAAGATGTATCAAACAACAAAGACAAAATAAAAATAACAAATATTTTAATAACAAATGAATATCACCAACAACACATAAAATTATAAATACATATATATCTACTATGAAAATTAACTCATTGACATCACAAAAGCATTTATAAAACATAGTAAATAAATCTTACAAAACTAATAAAAATCATAAAACCCCCCGAAAAAACAACACAACAACATAATAAAAAATTTTTACATTAAATTACAATAACTAATCATTATACACATAGAATTCATAAAAGTACAAATGAACTTAACCCTACAAAAAAAAATAATAATAGTAATAAAAAAACAAACCCCACGAATTATATTTTGCATTAACTCTGCTTGTGTCAAAGGTCTATTATCATAATCTCCCTGTGTAGAATTGTCTGAATCACTTCCTTCTACAATGGCTGGGGCTTGTATAGAAGATAAAGAAGTTAGAGGTATTGAAGGTCTACCAATTAAACTCTGAAAAAATTGTTGATCATCTTCTTCTGTCTTGAATACATAAAAAAATATTTACTATAAATTGCGTAAATTTTTATTTTATTTACCATAGATGATTCCAAAAATAAATATAAATTCAGAATTTTAATAATTCAATAAACTTATATATAATTATATACAATTATATATATTATATATAATTTATATATATTATACATAATTTATATATATTATATATAATTATATATATTATATATATATAATTATATATAATATATATATAAACTATATATATTATATATAATTTTAATAACTATATATAATTATATATATTATATATATAATTTTAATAATTCAATAACTTTAATAATTCAATAAACACTATTTTACAGCTACCTGAGAAGATACAAACTCATGAACTTGTAAAAGTTCATTAATTCTTTGTTCAATGATACTAAGATTCTGAAAAATGTAAAAAAGAGCATCATCATTATATGACCAACATCAACATCAACATCAACATTGTTAAGTTAATAAAAAAAAATGCATATCTAAATCAAAGTTTATCAAAAGTGCAAAAATTTTTTTTTTAAACTTTATTTGTAACTATTTTTTTTTTATCATTATATGAATAATAGTAGTCAATAGTAGAATAATAAGAATAATAATTAAATTGTAACAACTACTAGTTGTTATAGTAACAACTACTAGTTGTTGTAGTAACAACTACTAGTTGTTACTATAACAACTACTAGTTGTTACTATAACAACTACTAGTTGTTACTACAACAACTATTATTTGTTACTATAACACCTACTAGTTGTTACTATAACAACTACTAGTTGTTACTATAACAACTACTAGTTGTTACTATAACAAAATACAAGTTGTTACTATAACAACTACTAGTTGTTACTATAACGACTACTAGTTGTTACTATATCAACTACTAGTTGTTACTATAACAACTACTAGTTGTTACTATAACAACTACTAGTTGTTACTATAACAACTACTAGTTGTTACTATAACAACTACTAGTTGTTACTATAACAACTATAAGTTGTTACTATAACAACTACTAGTTGTTACTATAACAACTACTAGTTGTTACTATAACAACTACTAGTTGTTACTATAACAACTACTAGTTGTTACTATAACAACTACTAGTTGTTAATATTGGTAACAAGTAATAGTTGTTATTATTAGTAACAGCTACTAGTTGTTATTATTAGTAACAGCTACTAGTTGTTATTATTAGTAACAGCAGCTAGTTGTTGTAATTATTAGTAGTTATTATAAAGAAAAGTATTACTAATGAAAAAAAGGCTAAAAATGGGTACTTGTATCAAATATAAAAAATATATAAAAATTAGCAAAATGCTATAAATTTCTTTTTGTTAAAAAATTCTGAAATTTATTGAATCTTTTAAAATAAGTTCAAAACACTGTTAGTCTTTAATTTTATATTTTTTAGGTACAATAATAAAAAAAAATCATTATAGCTTATATTTTGAACTAATTTTGAACTTTTTTTTCCCACTTTAATCAACACTAGCTTTACATTGTGCTCTCCTGAAACCAAGCAAACTGTTCATTTATTATTAATGGGTTCTTAAAGTACTTAAAAATAACTTTTTAAGATCAAAAATTTAGATTTAATAAACTTTAATATAAAAAATAGACTTTTTATATTAAATAAATTAATATAAAAAGTCATTTTATGACTAAATCATCTATTCAAATTGTTAAAAAATACATTAAAAAAAAAAGTTTGCTGCCTGATTTTGGGGATATGTAACTTAAATTTTATGTATCAAAATGTTTTTGCCAAAAACCTGGCATATGAAACAGTCTCATTTTTGTTAATTTTTTCCTAATGGCCTGATTTTTTCCCTGCAAATTCACAATAATCTTTGCAATTCTAGTCTAAATGTAAATAATTTTTAAAATTAATTAGAAAATTTTGTCTTGCTTTTGCATAAAGGTATTTAAAAGTAATTATTCTTACCTTATTATTTCTTAACCTTTTATGATCTATTGACCAGGTGCTCTGAGTGTTTGCATAAACACTCTTTAAATAGTTTATTCTCTGGCTTAACCGGTTTATTTATATTTACAGTTAAATAAAGCACTTTGACATGATGGCAGGAGGTTTACAAGAATAATAGACGGTCATGAAACTTAGCTAACCTTGCATAAACCCCTTTTTTTAATAGCCAATGCTTGAAGTGGATGAACTATCTGATATCAAAAAATCTAACAAGTTTTAAATTGTTGCGAATTGGGCCTCAATGCTATTGTGTTTGAAAATCGTATTTTTTTAATTATTACATAAAAAATTTGTGTGTTTTCAAAATACCACCACTTAATAAAAATATAATAATTAAAAAATCAAGATCAGAAATTATTTTTTTTTAACTCTGAGTCAATGTAGAGGCACTCCTTACATGTTCTACCTATTTAAGTCAGCTGATGTATGTACACTCTTTCCACATTTTCCTTATTTAAATCAGTTGGTCTATGTACACTCCTTTCATGTACTACCTATTTCAGACAATGTATGTACATTAACCTATAAAAATTAGACAATGAAACAAAAATAAAAAAGCAATAAAATAAAACAAATAAAATAGACAAGTAAAAGTAGTATAAAACATTAATAAAATAAAAGCAAAAACATTCTGCATTAAAAAAGAAAACAATTCAAGTCAATTAAGTTTGATTTATGTTTTAAGACAACATAGAAATGTTGTACAAATGTCTAAGTTATTAGAAGTTATACAAATGATCCAACACTTCTGGAAAAAATAATTCTTTAAAGTGATAAAAAATAATTTTTGTAAACTCTGAAATTTATCATTACTTCTTTTTTTTAGATAAAAAATTAATGTTTTATTGTAAAATCTGAAATTTATCAAGAGTTTTCACTTTTTTAAAATTAAATATTTAAAAACACATTCAAAACAGTAGTTTTTAAATATTATTAGACCTCTTTATAGTTCCGATAATTTTATGCGCCCACATATTTAATAGTATGTCATAGTTCCTTATATATATAATATATATACATATATGCGGTAGTGGTGTGGTGGTAGAGTGCTCGCTTCATAAATGAGTGGTTCTGAGTTCGATCCCCAACACGTCCCTGGTAGTACCGCTACCTGGTTTCTCTGTGCAGTGGCCTTATTCGTCAAGGTTCATGTTTTGGAGTTATAGAGTTAAGAGAGGGTTATAACCACAAATAAGTAGCCTCCTCGTCTGTAGTGGCCTTCTTGGCCTTGAGGAGGTAAATTTAAAAATATATATATATATATATAAATATAAATATATATATATATATATATATATATATATATATATATATATATTATATATGCAACCCTCGGAATTAGGGTCGACATTTGGCAATGGCGACCTAAACGTGTTTGCTGTCAGCAAAAAAAAAGAAGGAAAATTGAGGTTGGCAAATTATTAGGGTATCCCAAGGCATAAGCGAAAAAAAAATTTGCGAAATTTAACACGCATACCCCCTAATATTTTTCTATTTGACCCTAAATATTTGAATATAAAATATAAAAGCGATGGGACAACGGTAACCCGTGCCGACTTGATCCCAAACACAAAATATTAATTTTTGTATCGGGTTTGCATAGAGAATTTCGAGAAGTTGATTGAATAAAACACTAATATACCCGAAATTTAAACTATTAATATATAATAATATTAATATTTTATAAATAAAAAACATTCTGCAAATTTTCTTTTTAAAGTTTGTTTTTTGCAATCAGGATAAATCTTTCGGTGTTCTTGCACGCAGCGTAATAAAAATTGTTTTTGTTCCTCCTCGACTGTTATTAGGCCATGGAACTCTTGCATCATTTTGACTGCTCTTTCAGCAGTATCGTTGCTGGCCTTCAGCATTGAAACCTTCTTTTTGACATCCTGAAACGAAGCGTTATTTGACCATAAAGAAGGTTCTTCGTCTAAAAAACTGTGATCAATTTGCAGCCGGGTCAACAAAGTCTTACTTTTCACTGAAACGAAGTCTTAGATGTTTTTATCTGAAATTAAAAAAGAAATACAATTTATTTTAAAAAATAATAAGTAAATAAAAATAACAGTTGCTATATTTATTAATAAAACTTACCATACAAGGAACCACAGAGTTCTTCTTTGGATGGTATATAGCGTTTACCATAGCTCGATATAATGTCACTGTTAAAGTTTTCAACCATTTTTATTTTATCTCCTTGGTCGACATCGCCGTCAAATAAAGATAAAGCAGCTACTTCATCACTTAAATACCATAAATGCAGGCTTAATTTCTGCACAGCTGCTTTTGAGATGTTTTTGTCGATTGTTTCGTAGGCTTTCATTGATTTTAAAAAGCATAAATCCTGATATGGTGCTTTTATAGCCAAAATGCATTGTAGCCATGGCTTTACATAAGATGTTGCAATAAATAAGCAAACATCTAATAGTGCCTTCTTATCCTTATTCAACATTTTTAATTTATCATTAAAAAGTGTCATCTTCAGGGCATAAATTGCTTTTGCCATCCACCTGGCTTGGTGCATGGCACCTGGAGGTCTAATTTTAAATGTTCTATTTTTATTTCCGCCTAAAAATATGATTGAGAGCTGAATTATTTCGCGATCTATAGTCATCTCGGACTATAGATTTTGTTAACTCAGATTCGTAAAATTTCATCAAGTTTTCTATTTCTGAAATAGTCAAATACAAATCGATTTTTCTTTGAAGCTCTGTATTTTACTAGAGTCTACACTTTTCCAGTTATCACAGAACTTTTTAACTCATTCACTACCGCAAGCCCCTTATAGCGTCTTTTGAATTTCATTAAATTTGACCGCAAGGTGCTAGTAGCGGCTTTCGAGTATGCTTTACAGTTTTTTGTTTTGAGTACAAAAAATTTTTTCTAGACAAATTTAGTTTGTTTATTCCTAAAGTTTAATAAATTCTCTACTAAAATAGTACCAAATAAGAGAAATAACTTGTAATTTATTTAAAAAATTTGGCATATAAAATTCGCCGAGTGGTCACACACGAGCAGTGAACGCCTGAGGGAAGAAATGAAGTACATTAGAATAAAGGAGAATTATTTATTAGACAAAGCATATTTTGACAGTTGTCAAGACAAAAATAAAGATTAATAGAGGAATATTTAAAAATAAATAAGACAGGCTATACAATTAAAACAGTACTCAACAATAATAACAATAAATAAAATTAAAAAAAAATTAAAAATAAAAAAATTAAAAATAAATAATAAAAAAATAAAAAAATATATAAAAATAAAAAAAATTTAAAAAATTGTTTTATAAATACCAATATGAACTAAAATATACAAGAAATACATAACCAGTCAAAAATTTGAAAAAAAAAAACATTAATGCTAATGTGTAAACATAATTAGTGTAGTGATTAAGTAATAAAC